AGTATATTATTATATTAAATTATATGTAGTTATTAATTAATGAATGAAATATACCTATCCTTAAAGTTTGCCAGTCAGGTGAATCAAGAGTGTTTGAACGAACCGTTTCCTCCATGACAGATGTCAATTCATTTATGGCTTGTTCACTAGAACGCTTTTTGCCATCTGAAGTAACAGTTTTCAGGAGGGATTGATGTTGTGGAGTAAGCACGATCGGTGGATTGAATTTAACCAAAACGTTCGACCGAAATTTTTCGCGACGAATGTATATTAATGAAACTGTCAATAGATTAATTGAAAAGTTTGGACGGTCTTTATTGCGAGTCAAAGCCTTGAAAAACAGAAGAATGAGATACTGTAAGCCGTCTATTGTATAATAAATAATCATTGTAATTGTATAAACTTTTTTTATTTACCTCACTAGCTATCACTGCATGATCATAAATTCAATAAACAGATGTCAGTCACATATGATCTTTAAGAGGTAATAATCTAAAAAATAACTGCACATTACATGCTACACCAGGTTTAAAGGGTGCCACCTTGCTGTGATATCGACTAATCCCTTCCGGGAACATGCAAATACAATCCCCTTGTTCCAAACTCTATATTATATAAAGATCAAATTTTAATCTTAGTATTCAAACTAGATTATCCAATCATGAGTTACATAATTCAGAAATACCTCTATTAACTTTGCTAATGATTCCGAATTATCGACTTTAGAATAATTATAATCCTTATATGGTTAGATTCAGAAGTTCTTTAATCAGTATTAGCAATAAATAAATAATTTTAATTGTGATAAAAAACGAAATTTAATTACCTTAGTTCGTTTAATAGGCACCGTGCCTAAACTTCTGATTAGTATACTGTAACGAATAAATAATTATTTGTTGATAATTACTGTATGGTTCATCGACAATGTATAATATACATCGATATAGATATATATATTTTTATTTACCTAAACATATCCGTCCTATGCCAAAATGTATCTTTGGCAGTCATTCGAATCTGAATTATTTTACGAGAATTTTAAGTCTTAATTCATATCTCAATTCATGTCTCAATTCATATAGCATTGCTAAAAAGCTCAATCATTATAAACAATTACCATATCTCGCTTATCTTTTGGTATAGCGGCCAAAAGACAAATAGGATCTGTCAAGGAATTTGCATGATTTGGGCAGAGAATAGTCGAACATCCATCTGGAGGGATATATTCTAATCCCTCTACTTCAATCGCATAAAACGCATTTGCCAAAACTTTAAATAAAAATCTCACAAAGCGATAAGCTAAGGGTGCCATTTTAAAGAAGTAACATTAGAGAATCCAAGTGCCAGAACACTAGATTCTATCGCAGAAATTAAAATCAAGATTAATAGTGTATTCATGTAAAAAAAAAAAAAAAAATACCGTGTTAATATTAAAAGATCGTAATAATTTACGATACATAAAATACAAATAATGATGCACAAAATTTGGGGACAGGGTTAAAAAAAGAAGCGATGTACAAAAAATGTGTTGAATAACATCATAGTTTTGAGTGGATCATTATGTCGCAATGCTGACAGATTTTATTTACATACGCATCTAAATTATGTACTAACGCTAACATTTTTTTAACTTTATAATTAAGTCTAACGCTAAGTCTCGATCTATCCAGAATGATGGATATGGATTTAGTCATTGATTCATAAGTCTTGATTGGTATATTATTTTGCTGGTGAAAGTGAAAGTGTAACGATTTACATATGATTCGGGCGTTCTTGAATCAAATGATTATTGTCCACATTTGAATTTTCAAACAAAAATATCGATATTACATCACAATTTTCACAGCCATCTAGCCAGCTTATGATAACAACCGTATGTAAAAATACAATAATTATACGGAATAATTCAATGATGGGTTTACAACGCATTCTCTCATTCTCACCTGCGCATTGCAAAAAAAAAAAATCGAGTGATTGTAGCTGTGCGTAGTCTGCAATTTCCCATATACTTAGAGAATAACCAATACTAATACAGTAATAGGAATACACGTTCTTAACACGCTTCAACAATTATATTTAGTGTTACGTAGATGGTGCAAATAAATCTGCACAACTTTTTATTATTAAAAGTGTAGTAATACGTACGATGGAACATATGCCAATAATATGGTGCCCTGCCAATTATTATTACGGCGGAATATTTGATTTGTTCATAACACAAATATATATATATATACAGTAAACGCACCTAGACCAAGCAATCCACTCAATACAAACTACTTCCAACACCACTTCGACAAATATATCAATACATGTAATCAGCACAAAATAGATAACTTCGACGATATGGTGTAGTAGACAAACAACTAATACACATGACTGGCAAACTTTAAGGATAGGTATATTTCATTCATTAATTAATAACTACATATAATTTAATATAATAATATACT